CCCCCCCCCTTATACCGCCGGACGGCTTCCTGCGCGATGTGTTCCAGGGGAGCAACGCGGCCAGCAGGAATGTGCGGGAGGGAAGCTGTCCACGCGACACCACCCCGATACCCGTGCAAAAACATCCGGCGGGGGAGGAGGAAGGCGAGAGGCACAACAACAAGGCAGGCAACCCAGACGGGCGGAGGTTGATTTGAGTTTAAAGATTAGGCTAGACTTGTGGACTTGTGGTACCGGCACACCGGCGCACCGCCGGAGCTATGCCCGCCCAGCTGCCCTCTGCAGAACTAGAGCCGCCGCCGCTGCCGGTTGCCGCGGATCTGTTCGCCACGACGCAGGACCGGTTCGCGCTCAACGACGGCAGCTCGGCCCACATTTCGCGCGGGGGGCACAAAAACGACCGCGGCGTCGTCGTTGTGCTCACTGATACCACCAGCCAGTCTGCCGCGGCCTTCACCTTGTTCTCCTGCTGCTGTTTCCGCTCGCAAAAAACTATACCGAGGCCTCTCTCTCAAACGAGCCTCTCATGAACGCCTCGAGGGGGAGGACGCGCCACGCACCCGCATGCCAAAGGAGGAGGAGGAGGAATCATCATCCTGGGCGTCAGCGGGGGAGCAGCAAGAAGGAATGTGCATCCGGGTGCGGCGAGGGACTGATAGCAGCGCGGGCGGAAGGCAGGGGACATACTGGGCCGCCGGGAGAGAGAGAAAAGAGAAATTACTGCATCATTGCTTTCATATCGCGCGGCATGATCGGGTGGGCAGTAAGGCTCGCCAGGGGGTGCGGGGGAGAGGGGGGGCAGTACCCCCCCACGCCCCACTGCGACCGCCGGCGCAGACAAGCAGACGCAGACACCGCGAGTGTGTTGAACCCAAACCGGGTGGGTAGGCAGGGCCCAGGAACACCACCCGTGAGCCCCCCCGTGACTACAAGCACACGCCAGCGAGGAGCGAGATCGGCGTCGGGGGAAAGGAGGGGGGGGGAGGGCTCAGGACGGAGGGTTGTCCGCACCGCAGGCACAGCTTGCGAATCCGGTTCGGGTCCTCCAAGAAGGGAAGGGACGCATCGCCGCGGGGGCGCACATACAGGCAATAACCGGTTCTGTTCCGGTTTAAACCGGACCGCGCGAAAGACTTGCCCGCGCGCGCGCCGGAGGAGCAATGCTGGGCGGCAGGGGGGCTGAGGATGGGGAGAGGAGAAGAGGGAAGAGGGATGAGAAGAGCAGGGGGGAAGGGGGGGGGCTGCCTGCGCCCGCCTCCTCGCCGCTTTGAACGCGTCAGTTATGCCCCCTCCCCACCCCCTCTGGGCGGCACACGAGGTAAGGCGCACAATAAGCTTCAGCGGGGTCCTTATCGCAGCAAGGACCGCGTGATTGGCGAACCGGCGTCTACACCGTGGGCAAAAAGTTTAACTAAAATATAAGCATCATGCCCGGTCATTCCCCTGTGTTACAGCTTCACCTGCCTTTTTGCAATTTCCCACAATTTGTAGGCAAAAATAGCTATGTAAAGTTAACACAGACCCTTAGATTGCCCTTATTCCAGCAACACCGTCGCGTCCACGTGGTGATGGAGGAGGTGGTCCCCGAGGATGACGTTAACAAACTTGACATTGGGCCGCCCGCTCTGGACGAGACGAGACGTCCCACCAACTATTGCCCAGGTACGGGTACAGATCCTCGTCCATCCACACCTTTATTTTTTTCTCAAACAGTGCTATGCGATGGCAATAAAAGGTGGAGGCGGTTGGTTGTTAGGTCCGGCTCGAGCAATCGGCTCAAATCCGTCGCAGAGCAGGCCGGCACGCTCGCACCTCCAGCTCGCCCCGCCCCGCCCTCGTCCCGGCGGCGTTCGGCTGATTTACTACGGGCCTGACCCGTACCTTCCATCTCGCTAACGCCTAGCTAACGTTGGCTAACGCGTTAGCAGCGTTAAGCGTTTGCGCGGCGGGGTAATTAAAGGTTGCCGCGTGCACCTCAGGCGGGCCTATCGGCGGCGGGCATCGCGAGCACGGCGCACACGCCCGAACCCTCGCCACATTGTATTAATACTTTGTACCATCAAATTAAACGGCAACCGCAATCTGCTGTACTTTTTTCTTTTCTTTCCTACTCTTCTTCCTCTTGTGAGCGGGAGACTTAGCAGCAGAGCGAAGCACTTTGCCAACGCCGACAGCAGGAGAATGCTCCGGCAGAGGAGCAGCAGCCAGCGGCCCAACTCATCGCGTAGGCCGCCTCCGCGAGCGCGAGGTGCGGGCCGGGCCCTCTCACACGCAGCCCGCCGAGGGGCTGCGGCCGCGGAGCCAGATTCCAAAGCGCGCGGCCTGAACACACTGCCATTCTCTTCCGTCACGAGTCGGACACGCGCGCGGCGGGCTCGGGCCGGCAAGAGCATCACACTGTTCTGTTGACATGGCGTGATGCCATTCGATCGATAAGTGTTGTACAGCTGCCATTCCCAGGAGTGATGACCCCGGCCCGGCCCGACACCTGACGAGCACCTCGTGCGGAGGCACCCACGGCCGCACAGACCCTCTTCCTGCGATGAAGCGAACACGCGCGGGCCGCACGAGTCAATTACTGTACCGCCGAAGAAAGTTGATCTGGAGTTGATCTGGAGTTGATCTGGAGTTGATCTGGAGTTGATCTGGAGTTGATCTGCCATAAGGGGCGCCTTGATGAGTGGTGATAGGCAACCACGCCCGCGCGGCAGCAATGCGGTGCAGTCCAACTACTACAAAATGGGGGGCCGACGCGGACGAGGCGGGCGCCAGACGAGTAGCAAGCAAAAGCAATCTTTCTTTTAAACAAAACGGGGGAAATATTTATCCTCGTGTACAAAGGCGCCACAGAAGGGATAATCGTCTGAAAACATGGAGCTGCGAGGGTGACGTCGCTCGGCCCGAGTTTCACCCGCCTCCCTCCCAGAGCTCATGGCCGGGTGGGTCACCCATGTTCATGACGTCCGTTCACTCGCGCCTTTCCAAAGCGACCTCTGGCGAGGGGTTGGCCGCGTCGTGTCTGGTCTCAGCACTCAGCGCCTGATGAGCGACGCCAACGGCCCATGCGGGGAATTCCATAACTCCGTGTACTTGTCCATATTGCACCGCAGTCAACGTCAGACGAGGCACGAGGCAGGAAAACTAGAATA